CATGTGACTGCTGACGCAACAATATAATATGAATTGATTTTATAACAACGAGTTCTTTTAAAATCATAAATAATATTCAACGTTAAACTGGTACACAATTGAAAAACATTTTATTTAGGCCTATCTATGGTCTTCAAAAAGTTGACGACTCTACATGTTTCGACGTTACAACGTCATCTTCTAATTCATTCTCTAATTAACAACCTTATTCGTTTATGCTAATTTATATCGTGATCAATAATTGTGTATGACACAAATCCATGTGTTCAAGTTTTCTTTCTGATTTAGTGCAAACTTAATATAAATCAATTTAAGAAAGAATATGAGGATCGCTTTATTAACCCTAACACCAAATACATTATCGCTAGTTCATGATTAATTAATAACGTTATTGTTTGACGAAGAATAGTTAATTTAGCAAAAACGATCAATAATTTTCCTTGTATCACTTGCTAAACCAAAAATATGCTGTTTTAGCATTTTCTTATTTGTAGGTAAGCACAAAATTACGCAATGGACTATCTGAAACCCGATTTTTAGCGATATAAGCTAACAGACTTTCCTCTGAACCACTGAGGGGGGGGGGGGCTCTTCTTTTTAACAGAAACTTACACCATTTCCTATTTCAAGACTGATTATTTTTGTATTGTTTTATTCGTGTTAAGCACCAGGCTACACAATGGACTATCTGTGCTCTGTTCACAAAGAATATCGAAACTTGATTTTTTAGCGTTAATAAGCCCTAAGAACTATCGCTGAGCTATCGGATTGCATTCGGTTATTAATAGCGCAAAGTAATAACAATATTAAATCCTAACTTGTTTCACAGATAATACGTTTAACTTTAATGTTTTCTATTTTAAATCAATTAGGAATTGTTGACTTTAAAGTGTGAGTGAATATACAGTTTATCCTTTAATAAATCAGTTAGTTAGAAAAAATAAAACATTTTTAGCGTTGCTTTGTTTGCTTTGATTCAAGCTAAAACTTATGCCATTGGAAAAATGCTAGAGATATTATAGAGCAATACTTGAACCGTAAAGCGATAATAGATAAATGTTTTTCAGTTTTAAAATTTGCAGAAAGAGGTACCGAAACTGTTTTATTAAATAATGACTAATAAAAATTCAAGAAATGGGAGATTTTTATGGGAATTCCGACGTTTCGGCATGCCGTTTTCTTGCCTTAGAGCTAAGCCTACAAATGTACAAATTATGTTATGATTGAAAATTCGAACTTTAGTTTGTATTTTGTCTGTAACTCTGTAGTCCCTGAAAAAGGATTAAAACCAAATGCTAGGTTATCTAATAAAATATTTCTTTTTCTAGAGGTTGGTAAGTTATTATTTAATTACAAGGTGAATATTAAATTGTTAAAGCGCCATCTAGAATACAAGAAACTTTCTTTACCGAATGGCTGTTTGAGAAGGTGAAGAAGTATCCGATACAGTCGAAGAAAATCTGTTTGAATCGAGGTGAATAAGAATAAGAAATCGTTTAAAACATGACGGAGGGACTTTACTTAAAAGGAACTTTACGAGGACACAATGGATGGGTTACTCAAATTGCAACTAATCCAAAATATCCGGAAATGATACTGTCATCGTCCAGGGGTAAGATTTTCAACATAAGGTAGAGAATAAACTATAATTGCAGTATATAACGTACCTCGTTATTTACACGTAACAGTTAGCAAATAGCAACTTTAAAAGTCAAACAGTTCAATCTAAAATTGCTTATAATGCTTTGATTACTATTCTTGCCCTTGTAATTAATAAAATAGTAATACGACCAAATGAATATATTTCTTACAATTATAGTTAACTTAATATGATTGAATGTAAAAAAAAAAGTAGCTTTCCAAATTTATCCATTTACAGTTTTAGTTTGGACCTAAAGTCTAAATTCTGGCAGCGCTGTATCATTCGTTTATATATAGTAATTAGCATTATGAATTTATATGGAGCTTGAGCAGTTCTTGGTTATAGTTATACTTGAAATGAACATCATACAGGTATACAACTAGTTCTGTATTATTCCTTTAAGTATCTAATAAGCAATATAGACATGTTTTGATTAAGATATTTGACAATGTTTTGAATATAGAATAAATATTTAGTGCTTTAAAGTTTCAGAATAAGCAAAAGCTAGCATAGAAAATGGTTAAAGACCCAAACCTGTTCTGTGTGGTGTTGCTGTAAATGTAAGCTTTTTCATTATGTGGGAAAGGGAAGTTCCCATTGTATGTTAATAATTTTAAACTCATTTTCAATTTCCAATGTAGACAAAACCCTTATTATGTGGAAACTGACTCGGGATGATACAAACTATGGTATTCCACAGAAAAGACTCAAAGGCCATGGCCATTTTGTTACTGATGTGGTCATGTCTTCAGATGGGCAGTATGCACTGTCTTGTTCATGGGACACAACCCTACGTCTGTGGGACTTATCTGTGTAAGTTTCGTGTAGTTTTGAAAGAGCTCTTTATATTGATGAACACTTATCTGAACTGTATATTAGTATATTGCTTAATATATTATAAGGAGAAAGAGCCAGTTGGTCTTTCAGGGCTGTTCTTGCACATCCAACCTTGAGAAAAATAAAAATTTAAACCTATTCTTTATTTTTCAGGAAAATTCCAAATCATCAGCTTCCATCTAAAACTTGCGTGAAATGCTGGCCTTCACTATTGCTGATGACAACTCATATCATCAGTCAATCACACTGTTATAAAAATAACTATAAACTAGAGCCCTGTCTGTTTTTTCTAACTATTTAAACTTTATTCTTTTATTTTCAAAATATACCACAAACATCAAGGGCTATTAATCTGATCGATACCCTAAATAATCTTCTAACCTTCAACAAGATCACTTCCTACCCTTTTCTACTTAGAAGAAAGTAACTTAAGAGAACTTAACCCAGTGGATTCATTAAGAAAATGTAACATTTATGGTTAATTAAACGTTTTAGAAGATACAGAAACATTTACAGGAGGCTCGGTGTGTTTTACTGAAAAATCTTGTCCATAAATACTTGTCTATGCACTCATACCAGTCCATTTTAGTCACATTGCGTAGCAAAAATATTATAAGCTGTCCTTCTGGTTTTACATAATTAATACTTGTGAAAGGACATTCAGCAAATTTTGAAGGATAAATGAATATCTTGTTCACACTAGTCTTTACTCACGTTTTATTTCGAACTGAACAGTAGATGACATCATAGTGAACCCATGCTTTTCCTTCTAATTTTGTGATTGGTTAGAGCTGGGATTCTTATAAAATATGTCTCACGTTGTGTATTGGACTCTACTGAGAATATGGTCAAATACAATATAAATAAAAACAACCTAAAACATAAAAAAATTCAAGCATATTCTGGCGAAGCTCAACTAACATTAACTCTTACAAACAATAGGACATGATAGCGGAGCATAACATTAAAACAAGTGGTAGGCTTGGCCAGATAAATCATTCACATGAGAGGTAGAGCTAGGCAGTTAGTGGAATGTGTATGTAATCAATTAATAAATTCCACTTACTGCTTAGCTCTATACAATTGATTATATTCAACTTCTTAATCATTATCACCTTTATTAATAAATACTTTTGTTATTCAATACAATGGCATTAGCAAATCAGTTTTTTTTTTTCAGGAAAGTTTTCCATCACATTTTGCATCTAAACTTTTCATATACACGTGTGAAATAGTTTGTGTATTTTTTATTTTTGATAGGATTGTAATGAAAGGTAGATTTCAACCTTCAAATTGAGATTATAATCATCAGTAGTAATAATTTGCATAATTTACTGATGATATCACCATAATAATTAATTTATACTTGATTGAAACCCCTTTTTATTTTGGTGGTTAACCCTTTCAAGACGGATAACAGGTGAAAGGCCATATCATCTCATTTGTTCACTCATATTCAAAATTTTATTGAACTACTATTTCATGAAATTATGTCAATAAGTTTGGTATCAAACTGTAGATTATAATTCAATTTTTAAAACTATACATTACTCAATTTGTTAATTTAAAAGTAAATATTAAAAACAGATAAACATCAATATTTGTGTGTCACATGATATGTTGAATGCAGCACTGTTTCAAATTAGATGTTTGTGAAGTCAAAATACTAAGTCTGTAATTTCTTACAAATTAGAAGCTCAAATTACAGATATTGACAAGCTAGGATATAAAATAAGACGGTTTTATCTTTTCTATTTGCCAAGATATTGTCCACGTAATAAATCAAACACAATGGTGCCACGCTCACCTCCTTCCATTTGTAGAAACGTTCCCTTATAAACCTTTACTACTATATATGACATGAATAACCAATCAAAAGCTCAAAATGCTCCACTAGTGGTTTTTAAGCCTTTCTAATGTACCTAGCGTCATTTCTTTCTTTTAAATCAGATTTCAATAAGGTAGGTTGTATCTTTAGTCTCCTTGAAATTTTTTTTATTTAGACCCAAATACAGCTCAGTTACAGCATTTGATAAATTATAGTAGAATTCTATGGTATTGATATAGTAATTTATGATTTTTTAGTTATTCAAAAGTATATGTACACCTAAAAAAAATATTTTGTTTCATGTACTCCACGTGCAAAACTTATAAAGGCTTAGCAATCGAGTACAAAGGTCTTAACTGAAAGAGATAATTGTTTGCTTTACTTCTTTATTTACTGTTATATGTTTTAGGAAAAATAACTTTAAGAACTTATTTAAAAATAGCAATAGTCTATATACATATGTATAATAATTTAAATGTGACTGTATTTTACAAAATACTAGTTGACTAAAACACAGCTAAAACAAGTATTTTGTACAGACCAAAGGTCACCTTTATGTTATTTGATACAGTAACGTGAGTGCACGCGAGCTGCGTCGTTGTAACTTCTGTATTGTTAGCCAGACGCAGGTGAAAGGTCAATATAATAAAAATAATCAATATATATAGATGTGTAATGTTATGAGATTTAAGCTATTTAGTTTAAACATTTATGTGTTGGTGTTATAATTTGTGTTCATTCTAGAATGAAAGAAGCATAATTTGTTTATTTCCCAATTTTTTATGGTGGTTGCGAGATCGTTTAAATTAACCGAACCCGTACGGAGATTAATTACTGCAAATAACAGATAAAATATAGTCTTTTCTTAAGAAATGTTTGATAACTATCCAGACATTATAAAGATTATGTATGTGAAATTTCGAAATTTTAGATGCATAAAAGTATTTTTAATGTTAAGATGAAAATTACTTTGCCTGATAGATAGGCAAGATGTGAAAAGAAAAAAAGCATGAGAGAAACATTGCTTTACAAACCTTAAGACTTAATAAAA